TGTTTGTGGATTAACTCAAAACACCAACACAAATGAATATATGATAGTATTTAGCGACTATGATGAATTCAGTTCTAAAAGAAATGAAAATAATGGAAAATGTGCAAACTGCAAGCGATGTAACACATCGCCAGCTTGGTGCCAAACATGCGACCCTCAAAAGATAGTACAAGGATGGACAAGTGGAAATAAGGATGTCGACGATTGCATTAAAGAATTTCAACTTAAAGTTACGAAATACGAAGATGTAATTGAATGGATTCCTTTTAATAGATTAGTTAATCTTCAAAATATTGGTGATAGATTTTTAGCAACCCGGTTAGATGGAGTACGAGATGTGATTTATGAATATGGCAGTGAATCTAAATGTACACAGTCACGTACACCAGCATGCATCATTACACTTAAAATATTGAGTAGAACACAAAATATTCAAAATATTTTAAAAGAAGTGAGATCATATTATTTTATTATATATGAGTGCCGACAAGGCAAACCTCGAACCGGCAATTATAGTTTATTATTTCTGAATAATAAACTATAATTGTCGGCTCGAGGTTTTGCCCTGCCGGCACTCATATAGTTTATGAATTAATAGTATGTATACTTTATTTATACTTATATTGTTTATATATTTTATAAGTTTAAGAATCATGTGCAATTAGAAGGTAAAAGTGTCTATGGATTAACTCAAAACACAACTACAAACGAATATTTGTTGGTATTTGATGAATTTTATTCTGAGAGAAATAAAAATAATGGCAAATGTGCAAATTGCAACCGAATTAACACATCTAAATTTTGGTGCCAAACATGTGACCCTCAGAAAACAGCAAAAGGATGGACAAGTGGAAATAAGAATGTCGATGATTGTATTAAAGAATTTCATCTTAAAGCCACAAATATGAAAATGTAGTCGAGTGGATTCCTTTTAATAAATTAGTTAATATCCAAAATATTGGTGATGGAGTTTTAGCAACCTGGTTAGATGGAATAAGATATATAAATGATAAGGAGTCACGTATGCTATCATATAAAGTAGATCTTAAAACATTAACTAAAACACAGAACTTATTAGACATGTTAAATGAAGTAAGTTAAAATATTTAATGAATTAACGATATCGCGCAAGAAATTAATAGCTTAATTTTAATATATATTTACGTGTTTAATAAGTTTATAGATTATGTACAGTTAAAGAATGATGAGCTTAAAGTATATGGACTAACTCAAAACACAATCACAAATGAATATATTTTAGTATTTGATGAATTTGGTTCTAAAAGAAAAATAGAGAATGGAAAATGTGCAAATTGCAACCGATATAACACATTTTACGCTTGGTGTCAAACATGTGATCCTCAGAAGACAACACTAGGATGGACAAGTGGAAATAAAGATATCGATGATTTCATTAAAACGTTTCAACTTAAAGCCACAAAATACGAAGATGTAATCGAATGGATTCCTTTTAATAAATTAATTGATATTCGAAAGATTGGTGATAGAGTTTCAGCAACTGGCTAGATGGAATTCGAGATATAAATAATACGCGTATACCATCATATAAAGTTGAGCTTAAAATATTAACTAGAACACAAAGTTTATCAGATATATTAAATGAAGTAAGTTTTTAATAATTAACTAGCGCAAAATCCACGGGCCCATGGCCATTTTTGCCAGTGATCTGTTTTTCAGCACAAACTGTTAATTTGTCATCAAAACAATTTGTGACTGCTAAAAGAAATGCACTGACAAAATGGCTCCTGGAAGCTTCATTGTTGGTTCGGAAATACTTGTAACGTAAAGTCAAATCGGTTACAAGATGATTGATCATCATTTTTGATCCTTCATCGTTTAATTCTGTGATTCCACATTCAAGAAGTGGAAACACTGACAATGAAGGATCATCATCATCGCTGAGTTGATATAGATCAGACTTTTGGAAAAGTCCAGAGCGAATATGAATGAAATTCTCCTAGTTGTATTGTGAATTTCAAACTACCCTTTGACACGAATAATCTAAGAGAAGTTGAAATTCTATGTCATTTCTGGGTATGTATTTTTCTCCATTACTGATAATTGTGAGTTCCATACTATCTTTGTCAATTTTTTGAGGTTTTCGCATGGAGAAAATAGACTCTTTTAAATCACTAAGAGTCACTTTGTCTAAGTCCGCAATCCACTTGAATGCTTTAGTACGTTTGGGATATACTATTACATCAAATTCTGCAATTACAATAGTTATATTAGTATCATACGATTCAGAAAATCGAATAAGACCGGATACTATTCTAAAAAATATCTCCAATTATTTTAACTAATGGCATCATTTGTGTCATTATCGGGTATATTTCAAAATTGGCGGAGACATGGGTAAGCCATACCAATGTATTATATAATGCTCAGGGTAATATTGCATAAGCGAGTCATCGGCATACGATAAAATACAACATTTCAGCCAGCCTCTTTTCTAACATACCATATATGGTCTTGCTTATGGTAGATTCGATGTGGGTACGTTTGGTTGACGATTGCGCAAGATTGAGATTGTTGTCTTTAATACTGTCTTCTTTGTTCTCACCGCCCTTTTGTTTTCGTGATTCGGTGTGGGTACGTTTGGTTGACGATTGCGCAAGATCGAGATTGTTTTCTTTACTAGGAATCTGGAACCGATATAAGTCCGGAACATTACCATATATGGTAATATCCCTGACTGTACCAGTAATCAATTGTTGTTTACAAAATATTTTTGTAATCACGCGTCACGCGGAGGGACAGACAAAAAATTTCGAAGTTACATTATTGATATGTTAATTATATCAATTATGTTAATGCATCAAAAAGGAACGTTTGATGGTCGAAACGCATCAAAGACGTAACTTTTGTATCACTTAATGCATAAAAATTAAGTGTCCGGAGCGTAGCGACGGACAATTAATGTTCTCTCTGTTCTTACCTCCTTTTCGTTTTTGTTTTTCGCATTTCTACAAAAATAGTTATTTCAGTATTATAGGAATGCGAATATGGAACATAATCTCTAGGCAGTCTTTAATTTAAAGCGCATAGTAAATAATTGGTCAAATTTGAATTACGATTTTTCTAAAACTATACCCTATAAAAAATCAGTATGTACTACTACGGAAGGAGCATCCCTGCACAGAAATTTGTACGGAAATGCACGTAAATTAATTATCAAAAAAAAATAATCATAAATTTAAACACATAGTCATATGTAATTGTAAGGAAAAGTATTCAAAAATATTTAAAAATACGTTCCTACACCCAAAAGTATACGTGAAAACACGTAAAAAATATATGAAAACACATGTACAAGTGCATATCAATACATGTAATGTTTCACGGAATCCGCGCTTCTATATGTGCTTTAAACGTGCTGTTCAGTAGAATGTTCCGTATGGATTAACTCAAAACACAATCACAAACGAATATATGTTAGTATTTAACGAATTTGATGAATTTAGTTCTAAAAGAAATATAAATAATGGAAAGTGTTCAAGTTGCAACCGATATAATACATCTGACGCTTGGTGTCAAACATGCGACCCTCAGGAGACAACACTAGGATGGACAAGTGGAAACAAAGATATAGATGATTGCATTAAAGAATTTCAACTTAAAGCTACATCTTACGAAGATGTAATCGAATGGATTCCTTTTAATAGATTAGTTAATATTCAAAATATTGATGATAGATTTTTAGCAACCTGGTTAGATGGAATACGATATGCAAAAGATGAAAGTGTATATAGTGAATTCATTACTGAATATAGATATAGACAGTCACGTATACCATCATCTGAAGTGGAGCTTAAAATCTTTACTGAATCACAAAGTTTATTAAATGAAGTAAGTTAAAATATTTAATCATTGTTACTAGAGATGGGTCCAGATATCCGCCAATTTTTGCTGTTTTTAAATTTATAATAAAATTATTATTATGAAGTTATAAACCAATAAAATGGACATTCAGATATTCTTTAAATATAAATATCCAACGGATAGGCGGATACCATCTATAATTGTTACATAATATATAACTTTATTTTAATATATATTTACATGTGTGATAAGTTCGTAGCATATGTACAGTTAAAGAATAATGATTTAAAAATATATGGACTAACTCAAAAAGCCTCAACAAATGAGTATATGTTAGTATTTTGTGAATTTTATCAAAGAAATATAGAGAATGGGAAATGTGCAAATTGCAACCGAAATAACACATCACCAGCTTGGTGTCAAACATGTGATCCTCATAAAACAGCACAAGGATGGACAAGTGGAAATAGGGATGTTGATAATTGCATTAAGGAATTTCAACTTAAGGCTACGAAATACGAAGATGTAATTGAATGGATTCCTTTTAATAGACTAGCTGATGTTCAAAAGATTGGTAAAGGAGGATTTGGCTCTGTATTTTCTGCAACATGGTTAGATGGTAAAAGGATAGTTTCAAGTGAATACACACAATCACGTACATCATCATGTGTAGTTGCACTTAAAACTTTACCTGGTTCGCAAAAGAATTTCTTAAGAGAAGTAAGTTAAAAATGATTTATTTAACTTATGATCTAACATAGCTAAATTATTAATGGTATAAATTTTATTTTATTTGATAACAAGTTTAAAAGTTTTACAGAATTTAGATTAGTGGGTAATAATCTTGAAGTGTATGGACTAACAGAATACAAAACTAATAATGAATATTGGATGGTATTTCAATATGCAAATAGAGGAAGTCTTCATAATTTCCTATCTTTAAATTTTAAAGAACTTAATTGGGGAAGTAAATTAAAGCAATTTGTCGACATATCCAAAAATTTAGTAAAAGTACACAAAGCAGAATATGTTCATGGAGATTTTCATAGTGGTAATATATTGCAAATCAATCTATTAATGGAGATTTAATATCTTATATTGCAGATCTAGGATTATCTAGAAAAAAGGATGATTCATATTTAGAAGATGGTATTTACGGCGTTTTACCTTATATTGCACCAGAAGTGTTAAATAACCATCCGTATACAACAGCAGCTGATATTTATAGTTTTGGTATCATTATTTCCGAG